AATTTTGAACACATCCTAGGATGTGTTCAAAATTCATATGATCGAGAAAGCGTGGGTATAAAAAGAGCTATGAATAGGTTCAGCTTATGTTCCCAAGAACGCTTTTGCAAATTATATTAGAGTTATAGGATGTCTTTCGCCTTATTCTTATTATTTCAATTATACATATTTGTCCTGGATACTGCCTTGCGCAGCTCTGTGATATATACGTGGTGTATTGTTTATTGAAAGCTGGAATACATATACGCTAGGTTCTAATAGCCTTCTTGTACTTGTACCGAGAATTACTGTGCTTTTTCAACCGATTATACCAGTACATGATAGAAAGAGCTTTAATCAACTTGAAAAGAAAACTCAGTGTTAAAGATCAATGCTTTATTCATCATCACTTGATACGACATCTGATTCTTCGCTTGATTCTTCGTCGTCAAGCATAGGTTCGATATTTTCTTCCACATATCGATCAGCAATTTTGAATTTATTTTGAATTTTTTGTGTGCGCTTGATCACCTTGGTAGCTGCACCACCATCATAACTGGTAATAAACTGTGAAGCAAGTTCCCGAACATTGGTAAGCTGAAAACGAGTGTTACCCTTACGCACATAGTCTTTCAAATTCGCCCAACATAGCTCAGTTGGATTTAAACAACAGTGTCTAACAGGTAAACGAACAATTTCCACATCGAACTCCACAGCTATCTCATTTACCTATTTTAAATAGTAATAAAATAAAAAAAATAATAGCTGTATAATCGTTACTTTGTATCTTTTTTTTAGGACGATTGACTGATGCAATTTCCAATAGCTTTGCTTTTGACCATGGATCAAAATGAATACTACGATTATTTAACCACTGCTTTATCTTATCTTTTTTTCCATGATCTTTTTACGGGTTTACATAAATCTATCAATTCACAATGCCATGGTGCATTGTCGATCACAATACAAATACGCCTTCGTGGACCTATTTTGTGAGAAAGTGAAATATTCAAGGAGGGAAAAGCGAGACTTCCGTACTCCAGCGTACTCCTTCTACCCCCAGACGATATGATAATTATGATTCAAAGAGTTTTACCAATTTCAAGACTACTATCCATCTGTGTTACGATATAGCAGTGGGAGTCTAGCTAGCCCAAGTCTGTTCAATAATAATGCCAAAATACTTCGTTTTGTTTCGCTCATTTGAAAATGTGGAGTACAATGAAGTATTTTGGCCTTATTGTAAGATAGACTTGGGCTAGCTAGACTTCCACTACTATACCGTAACACAGGTGGATAGTAGTCTTAAAATTGCTAAAAATCTTTGAATCATAATTATCGTATCGTCTGGGAGTACAGGGAGCACGCTGAAGTACTGGAGTCTCGCTTTTTCTCCCTTGGAAATATTACACAAACAAATGTAGCAAAAAAAGTACATCATACCGTTGTCAACGCGAATATGAAATGCTACTGTTTCAATCCATTTAAGAAAATACTCAGAATTTACTGAATGATCTTTGGAGCAAGAGAATATATTGACAGTTGGTAGATGAATTCCGTTGGTATTCATCATTGCTGATATTGTGATTCTACTCCCTAAGATGTCACATTTGGTTTTTAGATCTTATATTAAATTGAGAGAGTTACCTTTCCCTTCGTTCTTCTTTATTCTTCCATTCCTCTCGTTATCCACCCATATGGACGTTTTTCAATACCAGAATTAATCCAAGTTTCATCATGAAAGAGAACAAGCGAATTGGCATGTCTTAATGCATCCATTTTTCGAAAAAATTTAGCTCTCTGAGCAACAAAACAAATATTATAAAGTGGAATTTTTACCTTGGCAGGTGATTTATAAGAAAAACTTATACGATGAAGATGACGACGAAATGTTGTTTTAGAATGAACTGGAAAATCATTATGTAATTGATAAAGTCTGTCCAGAAGATTATCTATGTTTGGATAAATATTTTCAGCTAGTAATGCATGGAGCTGGAATTTTATCTCACTATCAGCTTGCTCCGATAGTTTTATAGGCATTCATCCAGATCTCTTCTTCGTTGGCTCTGGCTCTGGAACGACAATTGGAGCCGATGGCAATCCTAATGACGACGATCTTCATTTGAGGTTGGATACTGGTCGCACCTTTGATTGTGAACGAACAGGTGGGGCGTCGATATTCTTGTTCTTCTGCATTTTCTACAGCCTTCAACTCTTTCTTTAATTTTAATAAAGCACCTTCCGAAATACCCAACATAGCCACCAATAGAGCATTACAGTTGTAAAGAGGAAGTCATGGACCTGTTTTCTTATTTTCGACAAATTTAATTACACGAAATATTAACTTTTCATATCAATAGAAATATGAACACTTGATGGGATGCTATCAATATTTGAAAAGCAAATATAGTGAACGAATGAACGATTGATACTACTATACAGTGGATACCTTTGTATGAGCGCATAACAAAAATTAATTTTATTGTATTCGATGCCGCAAACAACAAATTAAGAAATAGCAACAAACCTCCAATTTCTAAAACAATCTGTGTTATAATATGGATAGTCCAGTACGCCCTGTTTATGAGATTAGCTGAATTTATATATAAAGGGTTTTCCAAAATAATTTCCATTTCTTCCATCGTTCTGCAAGAACAATATGGCACATAAGATGTATACATATAATTAATCGTAAGCTGAATACTTATTCATAGCTCTTTTTATACCCACGCTTTCTCGATCATATGAATTTTGAACACATCCTAGGATGTGTTCAAAATTCATATGATCGAGAAAGCGTGGGTATAAAAAGAGCTATGAATAAGTATTCAGCTTACGATTAATTATATGTATACATCTTATGTGCCATATTGTTCTTGCAGAACGATGGAAGAAATGGAAATTATTTTGGAAAACCCTTTATATATAAATTCAGCTAATCTCATAAACAGGGCGTACTGGACTATCCATATTATAACACAGATTGTTTTAGAAATTGGAGGTTTGTTGCTATTTCTTAATTTGTTGTTTGCGGCATCGAATACAATAAAATTAATTTTTGTTATGCGCTCATACAAAGGTATCCACTGTATAGTAGTATCAATCGTTCATTCGTTCACTATATTTGCTTTTCAAATATTGATAGCATCCCATCAAGTGTTCATATTTCTATTGATATGAAAAGTTAATATTTCGTGTAATTAAATTTGTCGAAAATAAGAAAACAGGTCCATGACTTCCTCTTTACAACTGTAATGCTCTATTGGTGGCTATGTTGGGTATTTCGGAAGGTGCTTTATTAAAATTAAAGAAAGAGTTGAAGGCTGTAGAAAATGCAGAAGAACAAGAATATCGACGCCCCACCTGTTCGTTCACAATCAAAGGTGCGACCAGTATCCAACCTCAAATGAAGATCGTCGTCATTAGGATTGCCATCGGCTCCAATTGTCGTTCCAGAGCCAGAGCCAACGAAGAAGAGATCTGGATGAATGCCTATAAAACTATCGGAGCAAGCTGATAGTGAGATAAAATTCCAGCTCCATGCATTACTAGCTGAAAATATTTATCCAAACATAGATAATCTTCTGGACAGACTTTATCAATTACATAATGATTTTCCAGTTCATTCTAAAACAACATTTCGTCGTCATCTTCATCGTATAAGTTTTTCTTATAAATCACCTGCCAAGGTAAAAATTCCACTTTATAATATTTGTTTTGTTGCTCAGAGAGCTAAATTTTTTCGAAAAATGGATGCATTAAGACATGCCAATTCGCTTGTTCTCTTTCATGATGAAACTTGGATTAATTCTGGTATTGAAAAACGTCCATATGGGTGGATAACGAGAGGAATGGAAGAATAAAGAAGAACGAAGGGAAAGGTAACTCTCTCAATTTAATATAAGATCTAAAAACCAAATGTGACATCTTAGGGAGTAGAATCACAATATCAGCAATGATGAATACCAACGGAATTCATCTACCAACTGTCAATATATTCTCTTGCTCCAAAGATCATTCAGTAAATTCTGAGTATTTTCTTAAATGGATTGAAACAGTAGCATTTCATATTCGCGTTGACAACGGTATGATGTACTTTTTTTGCTACATTTGTTTGTGTAATATTTCCAAGGGAGAAAAAGCGAGACTCCAGTACTTCAGCGTGCTCCCTGTACTCCCAGACGATACGATAATTATGATTCAAAGATTTTTAGCAATTTTAAGACTACTATCCACCTGTGTTACGGTATAGTAGTGGAAGTCTAGCTAGCCCAAGTCTATCTTACAATAAGGCCAAAATACTTCATTGTACTCCACATTTTCAAATGAGCGAAACAAAACGAAGTATTTTGGCATTATTATTGAACAGACTTGGGCTAGCTAGACTCCCACTGCTATATCGTAACACAGATGGATAGTAGTCTTGAAATTGGTAAAACTCTTTGAATCATAATTATCATATCGTCTGGGGGTAGAAGGAGTACGCTGGAGTACGGAAGTCTCGCTTTTCCCTCCTTGAATATTTCACTTTCTCACAAAATAGGTCCACGAAGGCGTATTTGTATTGTGATCGACAATGCACCATGGCATTGTGAATTGATAGATTTATGTAAACCCGTAAAAAGATCATGGAAAAAAAGATAAGATAAAGCAGTGGTTAAATAATCGTAGTATTCATTTTGATCCATGGTCAAAAGCAAAGCTATTGGAAATTGCATCAGTCAATCGTCCTAAAAAAAAGATACAAAGTAACGATTATACAGCTATTATTTTTTTTATTTTATTACTATTTAAAATAGGTAAATGAGATAGCTGTGGAGTTCGATGTGGAAATTGTTCGTTTACCTGTTAGACACTGTTGTTTAAATCCAACTGAGCTATGTTGGGCGAATTTGAAAGACTATGTGCGTAAGGGTAACACTCGTTTTCAGCTTACCAATGTTCGGGAACTTGCTTCACAGTTTATTACCAGTTATGATGGTGGTGCAGCTACCAAGGTGATCAAGCGCACACAAAAAATTCAAAATAAATTCAAAATTGCTGATCGATATGTGGAAGAAAATATCGAACCTATGCTTGACGACGAAGAATCAAGCGAAGAATCAGATGTCGTATCAAGTGATGATGAATAAAGCATTGATCTTTAACACTGAGTTTTCTTTTCAAGTTGATTAAAGCTCTTTCTATCATGTACTGGTATAATCGGTTGAAAAAGCACAGTAATTCTCGGTACAAGTACAAGAAGGCTATTAGAACCTAGCGTATATGTATTCCAGCTTTCAATAAACAATACACCACGTATATATCACAGAGCTGCGCAAGGCAGTATCCAGGACAAATATGTATAATTGAAATAATAAGAATAAGGCGAAAGACATCCTATAACTCTAATATAATTTGCAAAAGCGTTCTTGGGAACATAAGCTGAACCTATTCATAGCTCTTTTTATACCCACGCTTTCTCGATCATATGAATTTTGAACACATCCTAGGATGTGTTCAAAATT